TACCAACTAACAACATCATACCACTTGGAACTATGCAGTAGGAATTTGTCTAAATTAAAATTAAGGAAAAACAAAAAAAAACTTTATAAAGAAAATTACCTGCTCAGAAATCAAAATTGATTTAGATTCGGACACTCGGGTCGGACTCATCATTCATCAATCACAGACTACACAGTCAACGGTCACCGCAGGCCCACAGTATCGGAGGAAAAGAAAGGGAAGGAAAGTGGAGAGACGAGACCAGAGACGACGTCAGCGTGGCGGTTGGGGTAGACGTAGTATTGTAGTCAGTTTATAAAAAGGGAAGGTCGAAGGAGATAGATACTAAGCCTCTTCATTCGTTTACCACTTTAAAATTAAAATTTGGGCCACAATTTTGGTCCTTTTGGGCCAGACCGAAAAAAAAAAAAAAATTTGGGGGCCAAAAAATGAGGTCCCCTCCAGCTTTGGGCCTGAGGCGCTGGCCTCATCTGCCTCGCCTCAGGACCGGGCCTGCTTCCAAGGTAGCCATAGTAAACTTACTCTATTTGGAAAGCTCCATTGAGATGATCAGCTGTGTAAGTTGGATTCTCAACTAATATGATTTGTTTGTATTGAAATTTTGGAGGTAGACTCCCTTGATGAATCATAAAGTTCCGAAGCTCGTCCAAATTTAGATCGAATAACATGGGTGATACTTTCTCTGTCCAACTGTTAATTTCACTTCCATGTAAAAGACATTATATAACTCGCACTCAATTAATTTGCTCAACTCTGGTACTGGTAATTGATTTCATAGACTGACCGCGATAAGCAACCCACAGTTCAGCTGCTAAAGATAAAAATCGAGCAAAATACGTCAGAAAAACAACGAGCAAGGAAAATGTAAAATTTAATATTCCTTCCACATTATTTCGTGAGTTTATTTTTTATTTTTTATAATTTGGCGGATTTCAAAAACTGTGTTTTTAAGGTTTTCGCTTAAATTTTTTGTTTCGCGTTGTATCACTAATGGAGCTGTTGAAAGACTAACATTAGTAGGCAAGTGTCAAAAATGCAAATTTCAGCATCTGATCGTTCACTACCGTTCAATCTTAATTGAATAGGATTCAAACCGACTTTACATTATGGAGTAGCAAGCATATTTTACTTATAGGTATGCAAGATTTTTGACCACCATTATTTGAATACTTTTTTTTTTTAATTTTTCTACATACTCATTTTCAATCACACATTCATAAAATAATATATTTTGCACGTAAATCCAAAATTTTTCCTTACTTTTTAGCTATATATTCTCCCAAAAACTATTCAAATCTTTGTTTTATACAAATAATGGTTGTCAAACGGGGGTAACTGGAACACAAAATTACAATTAAACAAAGTTGCATATTTAATTGATCAAAAATATTTAATTAGCTATATTTCTCAATTGGGAAGAAAAAATAGAAAAGTGAAGTTTTAGTTTTTAATCTATAACGATTGTTGCTGTAAATCTTTAATAAAAAGAAGCAAGAGAGAAATGGATGCCGCAAAAAAAGTGTGGATCAACAAATATAGAGCAACGATATATGGAGATTATACTGTAATTTAATATGTGATTGGACATCTGTATTTTCGCAACTAGAGGAACAACGTAGTCACATATCGGGATTGTCTTCCGGAATACGAGTAAATATGTGGGTGAAATTCCTTTTATGTTAGGTTTTGAAGTTGTTGGCAATCTTTTGACATAACTATTGTTGTAAAAGAGTTTTTAAAAGTCAAAGGGTCGAGTAGTAAGTTAGAAGTCATAGGGTTCTAGTATAGAACAAATGAGTAAACGTCAGCCTATCGCCTAGTTGTTGCTCGACCGGTAAAAACAGAAGTTGCATTGCCCGACAGCCTGGATTTTGCTCGAGCGAGACATCGTCGCTTGCCCGTCGCTAAGCTTTCGCTCGAGCGACAATGTTTTCCAAAAAAAACCTAATTCGCATTTTTAAGGCTTTTATCCAGCTCATACTACCCAAAGCATCTTTACTATATATATGGACGACACTTATACAAAAATTAGAGGTTGAACATTGAGAGAAACAAGGTTTTTCATCATTCTACATCATTCATTGAGTTCAACCGTTATTTTGCTTTGATCATTGTTTTGAAAAACATCATCCTCACTTGAACCAAACACCAAAACATATACTTCCATAACATTTGTCAGAGTTCTGAAGATCAAAGAAGGTGATTGGAATTTCTGGTCGTTGGAGAACAAGGAGTTCTCATTAATCCAAGGAGATAAACGAATTCAGAAGGCCGAGAGTTGCTACAAGAGTACGCAATCCTTATAGTTACGTGGCCAGAAAGCACTAGAATTAGTCGAGTCTGACAGTACTGTAAGTTGATTCGTTTATAGTGGAAGTAACTGGCTTAATCCCAGAGTTTTTACCCAATTGGGTTTCTCCATCATCAATATTGGTGTTATTTATTACTTTCTTATTACAAACTACGGCAATTCAACTGAGGATAATTGAACTGTTTGTTTAATCATCTAAAAATAATTAAAAAGTGACTTGTTGTTTTTGATTATATAATTCCGCATGTAAGATTGAACATAATCTTTAATTCCACAGAAACACCTATCACGCCCTTCTAGGTTTTCGTAGGGTTGAACTAGTAACTTTCATTTTATAATTGTATTTTAAATATCAAGCTAAAGACGTACAAATCACTCGTAACAACATACTTGTCATTATTCAAATAATTGTTACACACTTCCAATAGAATCTATCCTTGGAAATAAGAAATAGAAACATTTTCCACTTGTTTTGAACTAGAAAGCCCGACCCATATTATATGAAAAAAAAGAAAAAAAGAAATGAATAGTGTCCTAGCTCCTATTATTAGTAAAAC